GTTTCAATAGTTTTTAGGTACAGGTGGTTTTTGATTACATGAGTGAGTTCTTCAGTGGTGAATTATGAAATTTTAGTGCACCCATTCAACTGAGCAGCGTACACTGTTACCCAATATATAGTTTTTTATCCCTCACCCTGCTCCCAAAGTCCCCTGCCCCGAGTCCCCAAAGTCCATGATATCACTCTGTATGTCTTTGCGTCTTCATAGCTTAGCTCCCACTTATAAGTTAGAACATATGGTGTTTGGTTTTCCATTCCTGAGTTACTTCACTTAGAATAATGACCTCCAGTTCCATCCAAGTTGCTGCAAAGGACATTATTTCATTCCGTTTAATGACTGAGTAGTATTCCATGGTGTATATTTAACACATTTTCTTTATTCACTCATTGGTTGATGAGCATTTAGGTTGGTTCCATATTTTTGCAATTGCAAATTGTGCTGCTATAAGCATGCATGTGCAAGTGTCTTTTTCATATATGACTTAGTTTCATTTGGGTAGATACCTGGTAGTGGGATGCTAGATCAAATGATATTTCTACTTTTAGTTGTTTTTAAATTTTATTTAACTTTTATTTTAAGTTCAGGGTTACATGTGCAGGTTTGTTATATGGGTAAACTGTGTCATGTGGGTTTGTTGTACAGATTATTTTGTCACCTGGTATGAAGTCTAGTACCCATTAATTATTTTTCCTAATCTTTTCCCTTTTCCCCTCTCTACCCTCCAATAGAACCCAGTGTGTGTTGCTCCCCTCTATGTGGAGGGCCCTCTAAAATACCAGACTAAGGCAGTTACTAATTAATGCCAGAAATATAACTGTATATTTATATACTTATAGCTCATTTTAATATTATAAACTTAAATACTCTGAATCTGCAGACCATCTGCAGGGACTCTAGAGCTTGTGTCTAAGTAGAGGAACCAAAGAACACAATCCTTCCACATCCAAGCTCCAGAGTACCTAGTTTCAACCCTCACAAGCTGGAGGTTGGAGCTACTATCAAAATAGTGGAGAGACCAATTAGCTGAGGAGAAATCTGCTATGGAGTGTAACCCAAGGAGACCTTAACTCTCCATCACAATGACCACAACTGAAAAGTTTGTGCTTTCTCTGGACTTGCCATCCTTTGTCATTTTTAGGTATGACCTCATGCTTATTTAATGGGGTTGGTGGGTTTCTCAAACAGATGAAAAACGAAGTCCACTCCTCACCCCTCACTCTTCAACAGGAGAGCTGACTTAGGAGATTTAAGACAAACTACCATAATGTATATATTAACATTAATATCATTAATATGTTTACTGACCTGCAGTATCTGACTATGAAATTTTTTGAAAATACTTCCATGAGACACCAAAGCTTTTGGTTTCTTTGAAGTAGGTTCCTTTCCCATGTAGGCTTTGTTATCAGGCTCCCTTTTTTCCTACTTACGTGGGCTTTCTCTCTCATTTACACACCCTGGTTTCTTACTTGAGACTTCCACGTCATTGTCTGTGGCTGATTTTTAGGAAAGAACCAGGTTAGTGTCTGAGCTCGGACCACATATACCACATCTGTCAAAATGGTCACTTTCAGCGAGGGAGCCATAGACCCTACAAAATCATTAGTCTTAAATAAGATCTAGATCAAAGTTAACTGGGCCTGAGGAGGGGACATTTGCTTTGCTTTGAACATTAATGAGCAACTCTTTCAGTTAAAACTTAGAAAAATAGAACAGAATCAGAAACCAAGCTTTCCCCACAAAAACACATGTCTGCCATGGGCTTAAGAATAACAAGGCCCAGCATCAGAGGAAACAAGTATCACTGGCAGTTTCCTCTACTTGTTTCCACCTGTTCGCATGAAGATGATAAGTCCCTTGGATTCTGAGGAATTTGCTTCCTCCTGAGATCTTCAGCATTCCCCTTACTTTCCTCCCCCACCCCCCACCCCTGCTCCGAGACAGAGTCTTGCTCTGTCACCCAGGTTGGCGTGCAGTGGTGCAATCTCGGCTCACTGCAACCTCTGCCTCCCAGGTTCAAGCAATTCTCCTGCCTCAGCCTCCCGAGTAGCTGGGATTACAGGCATGCGCCACTATGCCCAGCTAATTTTGTATTTTTAGTAGAGATAAGTTTCCACCATATTGGCCAGGCTGGTCTCGAACTCCTGACCTCAAGTGATCCGCCTGCCTTGGGCTCCCAAAGTGCTGGGATTACAGGCATGGGCCACTGTGCCTGGCTGCCCCCTACTTTCTTTGGGGTTCCCATCACTGCTAAAACACACAGAGACGATATCATTCGGGTGCACAAACATTTTGATGGGTTCTTACAGTGATGGATCATGGAAGACTGAAAGGCAAATCAAATGTGGCCCCTGACCTCCAGGAATTCGCAATCTAACAAATGAAATAGACACATCCAGGGCCAATTCCTGTTCTATTAAAGCCATGCTGTAAGATAAGTGCTATAATAGAGGCCCAGCTGAATCTAAAGCTGATATGGCTTAGAGTTTTAAAAGTTTCAATGGCCTTCTCAGTAGATCCTGAGGAGGGGATTCTGGTTACCAGATTATTCTCCAAATAGGACTGGCTATATCATTTGTGGGGTCCAGTGCAAAATGAAAATGAAGAATCCTTTACTCAAGAATTTCAAAACAGTGACAGCACAACCTGAAACCAAGCATGGGGGCCTTCTGAGTGCAGGGCCCTATGGGAATGCTACACAGATCACACACTCATGAAACTGGCCCTGTCTGCAAATGTGGTCTATGAATAGGAGAAAGAAGTAAATTTTGAGCAGTCTAGAGAAGGAAATTACACATAGAGAATTTTCTTTCAAGTAGTTCACAGGAAAATAAAATCACTTCAACAAAAGCAAATAATTCATTCTTCGCCAAATTAGCAAGTGGTGTTGGAATCTAAAAGATAACAAAGTTACAGTTTGCAAAGACATTTTCACAGATATTTCACAGCTACAAGGTAAGTACATTAATAATAATAATTGTTGTAGTAGTACCCGGCACTAATGTATAGAACTTATTAAGTGCCAGGATTCTTCTAAGTATATTACATATACTTTACTCATTTAATCCTCAAAACAGCAATGGAGGGAAAATTCTATTATTTCTCTGTGTTACTACAGATGAGGAAACTGACCTTAGAGAGGTTGAGGAATTGCCCCTGGCCACACAGAAAATAAGTGGTGGAGGCAGGATTTGAATTCAGACAGTCTAGCTTCAGAGTCTGTGGTCTTAACCACTATTTATGCTACCTCTGAAAAAATAAAGATAGGAAGGAAGGGAAGGACGGAGGGAGGGAGGTGGGAGGGAGGGAAGGAGGGAAAGAACGAAGGGAAGGAGAAAGGAAGGGAAGGAAAAAGGAAGGAAGAGAAGGAAGAGAGGAAGGAAGGGAAGGAGAAAGGAAGGGAAGGAAAAAGGAAGGAAGAGAAGGAAGAAAGGAAGGAAGAGAAGGAGAAAGGAAGGGAAGGAAAAAGGAAGGAAGAGAAGGAAGAAAGGAAGGAAGGGAGGGAAGGAAAAAGGAAGGAAGAAGGGAAGGAAGGGAGGGAAGGAAAAATGAAAGGAAGAGGGGAAGGAAGAAAGGAAGGGAGGGAGAGAGAGGAAAAAGGAAGGAAGAAGGGAAGGAAGGGAGGGAAGGAAAAACAAAGCAAGGAGGGAAGGAAGGAAGAAAGGAAGGAAGGAGGGAAGGAAGGGAGAGGGAGGAGGAAGGAGGGAAGGAGGGAAGAAAGGAGGAAGGAGGGAAAGAAGAAAGGGAGGGAGGGAGGGAAGAAAGGAAGGAAAGAAAGGAGGAAGAAATTAGAAAGGAGGGAAGGAAAAAGGAAGGAAGAAGGAAGGAAAAAGGAAGTAGGAAGAAAGGAAGAAAAAGGAGGGAGGAAAGTAAAAAAAAAGGGAAGGAAAAAGGAAGGAAGAAGGGAAGGAAGGGAGGGAAGGAAAAACAAAGCAAGGAGGGAAGGAAGAAAGGAAGGAAGGGAGGGAAGGAAGGGAGGGAGGGAAGGAGGAAGGAGGGAAGAAAGGAGGAAGGAGGGAAAGAAGAAAGGGAGGGAGGGAGGAAGAAAGGAAGGAAAGAAAGGAGGAAGAAATTAGAAAGGAGGGAAGGAAAAAGGAAGGAAGAAGGAAGGAAAGGAAGTAGGAAGGAAGAAAAGGAGGGAGGAAAGTAAAAAAGGAAGGGAGGGAGGGAAGGAAGAAGGAAGGAAGGAGGGAGGGAAGGAGGGAGGAAAGGAGGAAGAAAGAAGGAAGAAGGAAGGAAGGAGGAAAGAGGGAAGGAAGAAAAGGAAAAAGGAAGGAAGGTAGGAAAGAAGGAAGGAGGGAGTAAGGAAGGAAAGAGGAAGGAAGAAGGAAGAAAGGAAGGAGGGAAGGAAGAAAGAAGGGAAGAAAGGGAAGGAAGAAGGGAAGAAGGAAGGGAAGAAGAAAGGAAAGAAGAAAAAAGGAAAGAAGAGAAGGAGGGGGAGAGAAGGAAGAAGAGGAAGGAAGGAGGGAAAGAAAGAAAAGGAAGAAGAGAGGAAAAGGAAGGAGAAGGAAGGGAAAGGAAGGAATAATAAGGAGAAGGAAGGAGAGGAATAATAAGGAAGAAGGAAAGGAAGGAGGGAGGAAAGGAAGGAAGGGAGGAAGGGAGGGAAGGAAGAAGAGATTATCAGTATATTCTTTCGTTTAATATATCACACATGGGTGCTTCAACCAGTATACACTGTATTATTTGTGTGCACATTTTTAATTTTTCTTTTTTTGCATTTCATGTTCTGATTTAACAGCACCGGTCGCCCTCCCCACTAGTGTTGCCACATGACCCCATGGAGTAGAAAGGTATTGGTTCTAGAGAACATTTGGAATAATAAGGAGAAGGAAGGAAGGAGGGAGGGAAGGAAGGAAGGAGGAAGGAGGGAAGGAAAGAAGAAAGTTATCCCAGTATATTCTTTCGTTAATATCATAGATTTGGCCTAACCAGTATACACTGTGTGTTGTGTGCACATTTTTAATTTTTTCTTTTTTTGCATTTCATGTTCATAGTTTAACAGCACCCGTTCGCCCTCCCCCACTGAGTGTTGCCACATGACCCCATGGAGTAGAAAGGTATTGGTTCTGAGAACATTCCTTCACAGCCCTATCCCACTCTGTCTAGACACTCTTCCTTGTTCCCTCTTTTAACTTGATGGAAAACTTTCTTGTTTCTAACTAACGGTTTTTCTTTAAAATTAATTTAAAAAGTGGTATTTTCCTAACTTGAATTAAATATAACTTAGACAGTCATGCCATTTGCCTTTTTCCCCCATTCACTGCCCCCCACTCTGCAAACTGCATCACCTAACACTACTCTTGGACTTTGTAGTCCGGCAGAGGAAACTTGTCCTATATTTAATTTATCAGAACTGTAAATGTTCAGCTTCTCAAATCAAAAAAGGAGAACAAGACAAACGGATTCTCTGGCAGCCGATCGTACTGTCACCATTAAATAAAAAGTGCTTTTGGCTGCTGGTCAGAGCCTGTAGTCAGGTCACTATCCTTTCAACACTTTGCAGTCCATTGTTATTCAAGGAAGGAATCGCCTACAAAATGAAGCCTCTGGTGGTAGGGGGTTTTCCTCTAGTGCTCATTCTCTCTCTTTGTCTCCCTCTTTCTCTCTGTCTCTCTTTCAATCAGTTTCTCTCTCTCTCTCTCTCTCTCTCTCCCCCCGCATGTACCAAACTTATTTTCTTTTTGGAAGTTACCTAGGAAACAAAGTCTTTTGTTCTTGAACTTTATTTGAGCTATTCGCTTCGATGGGAATCTGCACAAAAGCTGAAGAGAGAAAGAAGGTTGCAATATTTTACTAAAACGTTCATGACGAACACATTTTTTCCCAAGGGGGGAGTCATATCCTGTTGGGTGTGTTGGGGGATTTACAGAAACCTCTGACAAGGTAAGTAAATGCCGGGGGTGAGTTTAGACAAGTGGCTCTGGAATCAGCTCTTTAAGGGGACTTGAGAACAGTTTGTTTGACAATAGGTGAAATCCTCTGAGTCAACAGGGCATGATACTTCCAAATGTAAAGATGGGAAAAATTTTTTTGATGATCCTAATTTTAGGACAGAATATTATTAAAGTCTTACTGGGATAAGAGCAAAATATATTTATTTTATACAGATACCCACTTTCCTCCAAATTGTGTAAAAAATAAATAAAACTAGGTTGAGTGGTAAAAACTGAGTCTTTTAATCATCTAGTTTAGAAACCCAACCCTGAAATCAAAACTGGGATGGAGCTTTTTAAATAATCTGGCCTAGGAGCCCAACCCTGAAATAAAAGTTAGACAATATTGATATTTATCAAAAGTTTGGATGGAGAATTTTCCAATGTCATATAGAAATCAAAGCCCGTAACTACACAGCTGGAGGAAAAGTCTCGCACCACAAAGCTGAAAAGAAAATAAACTAGGACTGTTTTACCTTTCCTAATTTGAAAAATAAACTCACTGGAATATTTCTCCCCAGTAACAGGATGTGTATTTTCCACTATCGTTGGTGGGGGGAAATTCTTCACTTTTGCTTTTCCACATGCATACAGTGTTCATGAAACTGAATTTTCTAAATGTTATTTTAAAATGCCATAGTCTGCAGTGAAATTAACTCCTCATGTTTTAATGTGGCTTCTCAGATTAGGTTGGCTTGTCCTTCAGGTATGTGTTCTGGAATGTCTCCCGACTCCAGGTTTTCTGAACCTTTTCACAGGTGTCTAACTCATCTTCTTCCTTTGATCCTAGTCATCTAGAGATCTCAAAACTTTTGATAGAAATTTATGGTGAGAGAGCTTAAAAGTTGATCTTTCATTGGAGTAGAGACTCAGTTTTCTTTGGTGTAAAGTTTGCAGATTTCTGGCTACCTTGTCTCTCCTGTTAATTCCATTTAACCTGAGAAGCATGTTTATTTAGCCCATTTCTTTCCTTTTGTGTTGCTTGACTATTGAAATAATACTTGCAATTAGTTGTGCTTACTAACTATTTCTAGGAATTCTTCCTTTGTCCTAAGGGCCTATTTCTGACCTCATTTTTACTTCTCTAAACTAGGAAATTCCTTATATGTATGCTTATGTATAATCTATGATGGCTGAACCTGATTGTACTTTGTTTGCAGTCCCATCCCCCAGAGGATGAAGATACAGATGTCATGTTAGGGCAGAGGCCGAAAAACCCAATACACAATATCCCTTCTACACTGGACAAGCAGACCAACTGGAGCAAAGCACTACCTCTCCCAACGCCAGAGGAGAAGATGAAACAAGATGCCCAAGTGATTTCTTCTTGCATTATTCCCATCAATGTCACTGGTATAGTTCTGGCTTTTTCTTAGGGGCAGACGGGTCAGAATATTCTGTGTATTAAATATGTTCAAAATCTGTGCTGCTAAGAATACTGTTTTGTAAACAAGTAATGCCTTTTTCATCAAAATACAAACCCAGAGGATGTTCGATATGCTTTTGTCAGGTTTTGAACATCAATTTACATGTTTTCCACTGGGCCACTTGTTATGTAAATTATGGACAGTTTCTTTTTGAAAAAAATCACCAAATAGCTCTTTGGCCATAGCTGACTGAAATAATGGAGAAGGCGGCAGTGATTAATCATATGATAATGATGTGTGGCACTGCAAGAAAGAAAACAGCAAACCCAGGCTTCTCAAACTGCAAGTAATGGTCCTGTAGGCCAACTAGAAAATCTGTTTTCATGCTTCCTTGGATGAAGGTAGGCTTTTTTTAAAAGACTGTTAAGACTTCTGTATTGATTTGGGGGATTTTTGACCTAAAAATACATGGATACATAGATGAAGGCTGAATTCTATTTTAAAACCAGCAAGGCTGTCTTCCTTTCACTCTCTTTTTTCCTCCTCCTGTGTACTGAGAGTGTGAATATTAGTCTAGATAGAATGGAAGCACAGCCAGACCTTTCTGAAAAATTTATTGGCAGCAGTTGTAAATTCCACAATTGGATCTGGTAAACTTAGTTGTAAGTAAAATCATGTTATAAAATATTCTAACTTTCAAAGACATAAATTAAATGGTCTATCCATTGGGCTTTCTTACATCTCTAATAGTTACATTTTAACTTATTTGTATATTGAAAATTTCAAAACAGCCATGTTATGACTGATTTGCATATTGGTACTATGTGACTAAATATTGCATGTCACTTGAGATGCATGTTGCACACAGCTATTATTAACCCCACTCAGATTTCTCTCAAATAAAGTGGGGAAGCAAATGGACCAGACATCTGGGACAGATATTATTATTTTTATTTATTTATTTATTTATTTTTGAGATGGAGTCTCGCTCTGTCGCCCAGGCTGGAGTGCAGTGGCCTGATCTCGGCTCACTGCAAGCTCCGCCTCCCAGGTTTACGCCATTCTCCTGCCTCAGCCTCCCGAGTAGCTGGGACTACAGGCGCCCGCCACCTCGCCCGGCTAGTTTTTGTATTTTTTAGTAGAGACGGGGTTTCACCGTGTTAGCCAGGATGGTCTCTATCTCCTGACCTCGTGATCCGCCCGTCTTGGCCTCCCAAAGTGCTGATATTATTTTTTTCCTGAGAAAAAGGAGTCCTAGTTCATGGGCCTGTGGTGAGTTGGGAGTTAATTTTCCTGATGACCTATTAAACTTGTAAGATAAATTATTCTAAAGATATGCCCCTATCTGATCTCCACAATCTAAATGGGATGTATTAGGGGAGTTCAGCTGCCAAAATGGATGATTTTGGCACCCTCTTAAGCTAATTTTCGGTTCTGGAAACCTCTGATTATTAGCAGCACGTGCTTTTTTCATGGCACTGTAAGTAAAATCTCGTTTTCAAATTTAGTGCTATGATTATGGGCCATTATTTTATGATTGAGGGAAAGGGACACTTTTCCCTTCTGCTTTATTTCAGGAACTCTCTGATTAAAACTTATATTAGATGTTGATTTCAAGAGCTTTAATGAGAACATTGTTAATGATGTCCACATAACACAAAATGTCTGTGTCTATATATAATGCATTCTACAATTACTAAGATCAGAATGAAGGATTTTAATTTTGGGTTGGAACTAAGAAAGATTCCATTAGTAAGAATTCTCCAATAATATTGTAATTATTCATCATATGATATCTCATACAGATTTTTCAAAGTGAGTTCTAGAAACCGTTGGCACTGTGATGTTAAACAGAACTCGACTCTTTCATTATACAGCTGAACCAAGACTTGACATACCACCCAGCCCCACGCTTAACAATCAGGATAAATGATGAGGTGACCAAATTCCAAAGCATGGCATCGTGGCTTTCTGAGGCAAAGTTCACTCTGAAAAATCCATGGTGCAGACAAGGGTTTGAGTTCCTCACCTCCCCTCTCATCATTCTAGTTGTGATGGGACTGCATGTAATGCTGATAATGTGATTATGGAGAGAGAAACTAACAAGCACCATGGTTTGCCCTCTGTATTTACAAAAACAAACCTATGGTATAAAGACTGGGAATTCCAGATTTATAGTTGGTATAGAAAGTGGATCCATTTAAGTGCAGAACTGGGAAATGCCTTGTATGTTTATTTTATATTGAAAAGACATCTCATGCTAAACCACAAAGCATTGAGTTTAGTAAACAGAAGAAAGTAGACAGAGTTGGGTGATGATTTAAAAAAACAAATCCTTAGACTGTTGAGTTTCTTCACAGCAAGAGATGTGTGTGTGTGTGTGTGTGTGTGCGCGCACGCACACACGTGGGGAATGGGAGAAGGTTTGGACCATAAGAGATGGAGGGAACAAAACCTCACAAAGATGGCTTTTAATGAAGAAATGGGTCAGGATATGTTAGCTGAGCTAATTCAGGTTAGCATCCTGGTTGCTGATTTCCTATGCAAAGGTATCAGCTTCAAAGAGCCCAGAAATAGATCAGTAAATAGTAATAACTAAAGGTTATAAATCCTTAAGGAGCCATTTCTGTGTGAGAGGGATTTTTTTGATGTCTTTTTCCCTTCTCTTTCTTTTGATTTTTCTTCTTTGCTTGTTTTAGTTGGCAGTGCAAGCTGTTGTGGAGAGCTGCATTTAGAAGTAAAGCTTAATGTACTGCAGCATAATTTAAATAAGAGCTGAATAACAGCTCCCTTATATTCATTCACAGGCTTAACCCAAACTCTTTCCTTACTTCCTGTCAATTAATATCACTGTGTTCCAAGTAAATGAAAATTTATTTGCCATTTCTAAAGCTAATGAGACCTATTTGTGGGTTGCAGGAGTTGGCTTTGACAGAGAGGCTAGTATACGCTGCTCTCTGGTTCATTCACAATCGGTACTACAGCGGAGACGAAAATTGAGGAGGAGGAAAACCATCTCGGGTATTCCCAGAAGAGTTCAACAAGAAATAGGTGTGATATCAAAAAATGTTAATGGTTAACATTCCTCCGCCTAGTATAGATGATAGGGAGATTAAACAGAAGAAATAGATGAAACAGAAAAATGATTAAACATTTTACCTTGTAGAGGTTTTAAAATGGTGTGTATTTGTTCTGTATTCAGCAAGCCAGGTGGTATTACTTTTTAACTCTCTGTTCTTGACTGTGAAGGTTTGACCTTATAGATTTAGGCATATACATTCAGGTCTTATGGCTGAAATGTAATACTTAGCTGATTTTTGAAAGTTTTATTAAGGTGGAAATTGTGAATAAAAAGTAGCAGGAGTAAATGAAAGTTTTCTTTTTGGAAAATTGTAACTTAAGAGAGATATACTTTCATGTCATTAATTATTTTAGAAGGTAAATTTCAGGCATATGCAATGAAATATTGAATATTGATAATATGATACCTTTGGTGACAATTTTTCTGTTTAGTGCATTTAAAATATCTCTGCCTATGAGTTTTAAAAAATTATTAGGGTAGCATCTCTTGTAAATAAGACTTTTATTTCTAATAATGAGAGCTATGATTTTTATTTCATCATGTTTATATTACAAAATAAAAATGAAGAGTAGTGGCCAAAAAGATAAAATGTACTTTAGTTTTTAAAAGTAGTCACTTATTGTGGCAGATTTATGTGATAGTGAAGAGAGGGAAAATTCACAAAAGACACAAAAGCATATCTTCTCTTGGTATGTATATATACATATATGAGGGGGACATGTATATACACCCTAAAGCATTTTAACTCTCTCCTAATTCTATGTGTTTTTTTTTCTATTAAAGAAAAAAAAAAAAAAAACAGCTCTAACCTGCCAGCCCACAGATCTGCAGACATAGCTCAGAATGTCTGTTGGTCTGCTGATATAGAAAATATCTCACTGTGCTTTCCATGTGCCCTAGATTCTGATGAATCACCAGTGGCCAGGGAAAGAAATGTGATTGTGCACACAAACCCAGACCCCTCCAACACTGTCAATAGGAGATCCGGAACCAGGGACTCTGAGTGCCAAACCGAGGATATTCTGATTGCTGCCCCATCCAGAAGGAGAATCAGAGCTCAAAGGGGTCAAAGCATTGCAGCTTCCCTTTCTCATTCTGCTGGCAACATTTCTGCCCTAGCAGACAAAGGTGACACCATGTTTACTCCTGCAGCGAGCAGCCGCACAAGATCTCGGAGCCTTCCCCGGGAAGGTAATAGAGGTGGGGATGCTGAGCCCAAAGTTGGTGCTAAACCCTCAGCTTATGAAGAGGGAGAGTCTTTTGTGGGTGACCATGAAAGAACCCCTAATGATTGCAGTGAGGCTCCAAGCAGCCCGAGTGCCCAGGACCACCAGCCTACTTTGGGCCTAGCCTGCTCTCAACATCTCCACAGCCCCCAGCACAAATTAAGTGAGAGGGGAAGGTCACGTCTGTCCCGAATGGCTGCTGACTCCGGCAGCTGTGACATCTCCTCCAACTCAGACACCTTTGGGAGCCCCATCCACTGCATCTCCACGGCTGGCGTCCTCCTTAGCAGCCACATGGACCAGAAAGATGACCACCAGTCATCCAGCGGCAACTGGAGTGGAAGCAGCTCCACATGCCCCTCACAGACCTCAGAAACCATCCCTCCTGCAGCTTCTCCTCCACTTACTGGCTCTTCGCACTGTGACTCGGAGTTGTCACTAAACACAGCCCCTCATGCCAATGAGGATGCCAGTGTTTTCATGACAGAACAATACAATGACCACTTGGATAAAGTGAGAGGCCATCGGGCAAACTCCTTTACCTCCACTGTTGTAGACCTGCTGGATGATCCCAACAACAGCAACACAAGTGACAGTGAGTGGAATTACCTACACCACCACCATGATGCCTCCTGCCGCCAGGATTTTAGTCCTGAGCGTCCCAAGGCAGACAGCCTGGGCTGCCCAAGCTTCACAAGCGTGGCCACTTATGACAGCTTTCTGGAAAAGTCTCCATCAGATAAAGCGGACACTAGCTCTCACTTTTCAGTAGACACGGAAGGATACTATACGTCCATGCACTTTGACTGTGGTCTCAAAGGTAGTAAGAGCTATGTCTGTCACTATGCAGCCCTGGGCCCAGAGAATGGCCAGGGTGTAGGGGCTTCCCCTGGTCTTCCAGATTGTGCCTGGCAGGACTACTTAGACCACAAGAGGCAGGGAAGACCAAGCATCTCTTTCAGGAAACCAAAGGCAAAGCCGACTCCACCTAAACGTAGCTCATCATTGAGGAAGTCTGATGGAAACGTAGATATTTCTGAGAAGAAAGAACCAAAGATAAGCAGTGGTCAGCACCTGCCTCACAGTTCCAGGGAAATGAAGCTGCCTCTTGATTTCGCCAACACGCCTTCTCGAATGGAAAATGCCAGTCTTCCCACCAAGCAGGAACCTTCTTGGATAAACCAGAGTGAACATGACATTAAGGAACCTCAGTTAGACACTTCGGATATCCCACCATTCAAAGATGAAGGTGCCGAATCCACGCACTATGCAGACCTCTGGCTCCTAAATGACTTGAAAACAAATGATCCTTATAGATCTCTATCTAATTCAAGCACCGCTACGGGTACCACAGTCATTGAATGCATCAAATCTCCAGAGAGCTCTGAATCCCAAACATCGCAATCAGAATCAAGAGCCACTACCCCATCTCTTCCTTCTGTTGACAATGAGTTTAAACTGGCTTCACCAGAAAAGCTGGCTGGCTTGGCATCTCCATCAAGTGGCTACTCAAGCCAGTCTGAAACGCCAACATCCTCTTTCCCTACAGCTTTCTTTTCAGGTCCATTGTCTCCCGGAGGTAGCAAAAGAAAACCTAAAGTCCCAGAAAGAAAATCCTCACTACAGCAACCCTCTTTAAAAGATGGAACTATATCACTGAGTAAAGACCTTGAACTTCCAATTATACCTCCTACCCATCTTGATCTAAGTGCTCTTCATAATGTCTTGAACAAACCATTCCACCACCGTCATCCATTGCATGTTTTTACTCATAATAAGCAGAACACAGTAGGAGAAACACTGAGGTCAAATCCTCCACCGTCCCTTGCAATTACACCAACGATCCTGAAATCTGTTAACCTTAGGTCCATTAACAAGTCTGAAGAAGTTAAGCAAAAAGAAGAAAATAATACAGATCTCCCTTATTTAGAGGAAAGCACACTCACAACGGCTGCCTTGTCTCCGGGTAAGATTAGGCCGCATACAGCAAATAAATCAGTATCTCGTCAGTACTCCACTGAAGACACCATACTGTCCTTTTTAGACTCTTCTGCAGTTGAGATAGGACCAGCTAAACTACATTTAGAAAAAAATCCTACTTTTGATGTGAAGAATCGCTGCGATCCAGAAACTATAACCTCAGCTGGTAGCAGTCTTCTAGATTCAAATGTCACAAAAGGCCAAGTGCATACAGAGACTGAGCCTATTGCAGAAAACACACCATCCAAAAACTGTGCTTTTCCCACAGAAGGATTTCAAAGGGGCTCTGCTGCCCGCCCAAATGATTTGGATGATAAAATAATACAATATGGAGCTGGTCCAGATGAAACCCTAGAACAGGTACAGAAGGCACACTCTGCAGGTGGGGAGGAAGTTGCACAACCTGAATCTGTGGATGTAATCACATCTCAGTCAAACTCACCAACTAGAGCAACAGCTGTAAGCAATCAACTTAAGCATCAATTTATTATGAGCCGCCACCACAACAAAGTGCCTGGTACTATCAGCTATGAATTGGAGATAACACCTGTAAATTCATTCCCTGAAAAATGTTCCAAGCAGGAAAATATTGCTTCAGGTATTTCAGCCAAAAGTGCCTCTGATAACAGCAAAGCAGAGGAGACCCAAGGAAATGTGGATGAGGCTTCATTGAAAGGTCAGTCACTGATAACTTGTCATAAAGGAAATGTGTCTCATGGCACTTCCTGGAATTTTTTCTTATGTTCCCAATAATACGGTACAGCGCTGGGTGTTGGTTTCTCTCCACTCTTTCTTTGCACTTATTAAAACAATTGAGATAAAATCTTGTTACTGGGTGAGTAAGCTTTGACAAGTATCTCTCTCATTTTTAAAAAATGGCAGCAAGATAATTTCTGTTTGTTTGTTTGTTTGTTCCCTGAGTCAGTGAAGTACAGTAATGTGCTGGGTAACTTCCTCTTAAAGATTCTTCTGTTCTTATTTTAAGAATCATCACCGAGTGATGACTCCATCATTTCACCACTTAGTGAAGACTCCCAAGCTGAAGCAGAGGGTGTGTTCGTGTCCCCAAACAAACCTCGAACAACTGAGGATTTATTTGCAGTCATTCACAGGTGAGGCAACATTACCAAGTCCCCCAAAACAAAAGGTACAGCAAAGGTTTTGCCCTTTCAGGTACTTCTCACAAATGCAAATACGGGAAAGGTTTTCGTAATTGTAATACATTCAGCAAAAACAAAAGCAAGCAAATAATAATTTTTCCAAATCAAGTTGATAGACTGATATGCAAGTTGGGAAATAGGATCTTTATATAGAGTTTGATAGACCTCTATTGAGAGACTTTCATAAGAGTGGCTTTATTTTTCCCCAGGAAAAGACATTCTGGAACAAGCTTTTATGTGAAAACAATCTGTGGTTAAGTGACCTGGAGTGAAAGCTCAAACTCGTGTAATCTCTGACTTTTAAATATTTTCTTGAACCTAAAAAATATGATCAAAGCTGTAGTCATACTCCAGCAGAGACAAACAGAAGTTGATTCACCATGGATACACCAAAATCTCAGAAATCACCACTGAAGAACTTATTTATGTAACCAAATACCACCTCTTCCCCCAAAACCTATTGAAATAAAAAATAAAAAACTCACATTGTACCCTGTAACTATATACAATTATTTGTCAATTTAAAATAAAATAAAACTTAGAGAACACACGCAAACACACACACACACACACACACACACACACAAAGTTGATTCTCAAAACAGAGTGCCAAGTTTGAGAAAAGACAATACATGTTGCTGTCCATTTTATAACTCAGAACAAGTAATATTTGCTGTCTGTTTTTCTTTCTTCTTAGAACTTAAATTTCTTTAATAGTACTGGCCTTCATCTCCAAAATTAATGTCCATATTCCATGAATACAGGTCCTTTGGTTTGCTTTTCCAGGACAGTGTTGTGTCCATGCTGCAAAGGCATACTTCCTCATCTGCCCCCATGAGCCCTTGTGATCCGTGGTCCATATTTGCAAAAAATATTCCTTGTAGCTGATGACCAAAGAACAGAGCAGGAACTAGCCCTTGGACACCTAACCTACATCCAACTGAGCTAGCCAATCATGATGTGCCGTGCCTCCCCCTTTCACAAACACGACTGTCTTCTTAGACCTCGGGAACCTAGATGAAACTCCCAAGAAATACAACTTGGGGATTGTCTTTTCTACCTCATAAAGTTATCATTTTTGAAACAAATTCACTGCAAGCAGCTTACAATCTTTTTCTCCTAGAATTCTACTTTTTAATAGGAATTTCTGTTTTCTGTTGATGTGGTTCTCTCATAAAGAAGGAGTACTGCTGTTCAACAATTGTTTTAAACAGAGCCAATCAGAAACACTTTCTGTGCATACCTTAGCAGGCATACTTCTCTACTCAGAGAGTGAAGAACCATTAGTTTCTTTTCCTTCACCCCTGTGCCTAGTCTAAGTTCTGATTATATTTCCATCACCCCCACACTTTATCTCCAATCCTAGGAAAAATTACTAAACTGCTATGTAAGTTAAAAAGCTATGTAGGCCGGGTGCGGTGGCTCAAGCCTGTAATCCCAGCACTTTGGGAGGCCGAGACGGACGGATCACGAGGTCAGGAGATCGAGACCATCCTGGCTAACACGGTGAAACCCCGTCCTACTAAAAAGTACAAAAAACTAGCCGGGCGAGGTGGCGGCGCCTGTAGTCCCAGCTACTCGGGAGGCTGAGGCAGGAGAATGGCGTAAACCCGGGAGGCGGAGCTTGCGGTGAGCAGAGATCCGGCCACTGCACTCCAGCCTGGGTGACAGAGCCAGACTCCGTCTCAAAAAAAAAAAAAAAAAGCTATGTAAGTTAAAAAGTTACTCCCAAAGGACCAAATGAAAGTGTGTGGAATAGTGGACAGGATGTAAATAGTGGGGTCAGAAAGACCTGGATTTGAATCCCAACTCTGCCACTTCCTAGCCAGTCTTGAGTAAGTTGAAACCTCTGGACCTATTCCCTTATTGCACATGGGAATGCCTATAGCTCAGGTATTTGATTCTGATGGTAACTTTTTTTGTGTGTCTAGAATATGGTAGGTGCTAAAAGCTAATGTTAGTTTGAAAGCCCTAACTTAGTGGAGTGCCAGACACTGGCATATACAAGATATCAACCACAGAGGTTTCTGTGAACCAAAATCAAGCAGATCTACACTTGTGAAACTCACATTTTCTCTACCGTATGAATCTTTAAGTTGATGAAAGTGCATGCTGCCAATGCTTATCAATGAACTGAGTCATACTGAAGATCCACAAATTTATGCCTGCTGATTTACCAAAGAAAATCAATAATATGATGATGGGTGTCAAGGTTCAATAGATGTATTCAGGTTGGTAATCTTAGACTTGCATTTGTGCAGGGTTTACTTATTTATCTATTTACTTGTTTATTTACATCACAGAAAAAAGAATTATTTTGTTTTCTTGAGAGCTTACAGTATACAAAGCTTTAAGAGCTTCAGAGATAGTCTGGGATTTCAATTCCCCACAGAGAGCTGGCTTACTGCTTAATATGCTCTTGATGCTCTTACGAAGCTATAGGAAATGATATTTGCAGCCCAAGATGAATTGACTTAAAACGTCATTTAATTATGTTTTTATATGGAGGGATTTTAAAAGGTAGAATAGTATAATGTTTGCTGACATAACCATCACCCAGGATTATCAACTGTCAAACTAGGGCCAATCCTATCCCACCCACACCTCCATCCACTTGCTTTCTCTGGTATCATCTGGAAGCCAATCCCAGACATCAGATCATTTCATCTGTGTTACAGAGACAGAGTTAATAAGAAAAAGGTATAGTCTTTCACCCGCTGGAAGCAGAAGTATAGTTTAGTTAGCAGTATAGTTTCTTTTTCCTTTCCTTTACTTTTTTTTTTTTTTTTTTTTTTTTTTTTGAGACAGTCTTGCTCTGTCGCCCAGGCTGCTGGAGTGCAATGGCGTGATCTCGGTTTACTGCAACCTCCGCCTCCCGGGTTCAAGCCATTCGATTCTCCTGCCTCAGCTTCCTGAGTAGCTGGGATTACAGGCATGCGCCACCATGCCCCGCTAACTTTTGTATTTTTAGTAGAGATGGGGTTTCACCATGTTGGCCAGGATGGTCTCGAACTCCTGACCTCAAGTGATCTGCCCATCTCAGCCTACCAAAGGGCTGGGATTATACGTGTGAGCCAACGCACCCAGCAGTTAGCAGTATAGTTTCTTAAACTTTTACAGAGTATCCTCTAGAACCTCTAGCCTCCACATTAGCCATTATCTGAAATGATCATCTCTAGGACCTAATTTGTGTCCACTGGTTATCAGAGAATTTCTTTCAGACTGTGGGTGCTACAAGGACAAGGAACATATCTTATTTTTCATCTCTATAGCCCTAATGCTTAGTATCCTATCATATAGGACAGGCTCAAAATGCATTTTAAACAGATATGTGAATACAACTGAATAATTCAGTTTCATAAAAACGTGGACTGAGATGTTTGCCCCATTTTCTCCTTTTCTCAAAGATCCAAGAGGAAAGTACTGGGAAGAAAAGATTCCGGGGACATGTCTGTTCGAAGCAAATCGAGAGTTCCTCTCGGCAGTAGCAGCAGCAGCGCCAGTTCCATCACTTCACCCAGCAGCAATGTGACAACCCCAAACAGCCAGAGGTCTCCTGGTCTCATATACCGAAATGCCAAAAAGTCCAACACATCCAATGAAGAGTTTAAGCTGTTACTGCTCAAGAAAGGCAGCCGCTCAGATTCCAGTTACCGCATGTCTGCCACTGAGATCCTGAAGAGTCCCATCCTGCCCAAACCTCCTGGGGAGCTCACAACAGAGTCCCCTCAGAGCACTGATGATGCCCATCAGGGGTCACAAGGGACTGAAGCATTGTCCCCACTCTCTCCATGCTCCCCACGAGTTAATGCAGAAGGCTTTTCCTCGAAGAGCTTTGCCACCTCAGCATCAGCAAGGGTTGGACGTTCTCGGGCCCCTCCTGCAGCCAGCAGCAGTCGCTACAGTGTCCGCTGCCGGTTGTACAACACGCCCATGCAGGCGATCTCCGAGGGAGAGACGGAAAATTCTGACGGGAGCCCACATGACGACCGTTCCTCCCAGAGTTCAACATAGAGTGCCTGTACCAGGCTGCCTGGCAAAGGCCAAAACCCTTACTCACATGAGGATGAAGGAACAGAATAGAGGACTTGGGAAAAGTCTCAACTTAATGGGGTAGCATCACTGCTAAGCAATGAATGAATTTCTAAATACAGTATGTGCTGGGTAAACAGAAAGTGGTTTAGACATTCTTGATTAGTTTCCATGTTTTAAGTAGCTGCAGTCTTTCATGTTTTTCTTTAGCATAGTTTGATTTATGCAATCTCCTTCCTTGCAAAAATAGACGATACAAAAATGTCTAATTTTCATGACACCTAGAAAACGTTTTCCCAGAGCTGCCTATTCAGAAAATAAAGCCCTCACTGTCATTATTCTTTAAGAAGATAAAATTACTCTGGAGGTTTGGTATTTTTTTACATTAAACTAAAGCAAAATTTAGAAGAAAGAACTACACATATGTAAATACCATATTTTTGATAAAAATGTGTAAATAGATTTATCAATGATGAGTGGACATGTGGTCAATTATCTACTGCACACCAACTGTTTATAGAATACACAAAAATAAAATGTAATAACTGTATTCTGTGAATACCATTTTCATATCAAATGCCATATTTAAATGTCCACCAATATGATTTCTGAGTGGTAAACCTCAAATATGAATTTTAAACTGGTGAACTAAAGGAAATCTTGAGGTCATATACTGAAATATGAATAATTTAAAATAATGAATTCAGATCTAAACATGTTTGTGACAAATTGCAGCACCAAACAAGCTAATAGCAACCCATGGCTGTGATTTGTTGTGTGGTAATTTGGACAGAATGAAAAGCATGCTTTTGATTTTTTTTTTTAATCAATGAGAGAAGTCATCATTCTCAACACAAAGCCCTGAACAACAGCATCTGACAGTGTCCTTTAGATTTTAATTTTTTCAATGGATTGCTTTAAAGAGAATGAGTAGGGAAAACAGTAGTTAATTTTAGGTTATGTTTTATATTAGGCTACTGGGGACATAAACAGTCATAACTAATGACTATAATCGTTAAACTCCTTAAAGAGTTTAGAAATTAGCTCCACATTCTTAAACTAACAAAAATAAAACCTAAGCATGCCACAGAGCTATTGATTAATCAGTAAGTACCTGTAATGAGTTTTCAGTGAAGCTTTCTCTCTGTGCTGATGAGATTCATGCTACCTAAAAATTAACAGAAATGACACTGTGAACAATATAGTTGGAAAATAGGTATGTGTATATGCATTATTTATATTCATTGTTAAACTGGGAATGGGGAACAGCTCTGGTTCACAATACTACATACAACTGAGTTTTTGTCTGGTTTTACTATAGTGTCTGCTTGATGGCAAAAGGGGAGGGTGGTGGGTGGGAGAGGAAATGTCAGGGCAGGTGCTCTGATAAAATAAAGGCAGGGAAACAAGCTGAATTACTTGAAATTACTTGAATTTTCTTGTCTTAAAACTGAAAAAAAATGTAGTTACAAGTTAAAATCTGCAAATGGTTTTTACAGCTCTGATTTTAACATGAACTGATACTAATGTTTGGAATCTTGTGTCAGAAATACAAGCAGCTAGAATAGGTTTTGAATGGGAGAGGTAGAACGTAGAGAGAATTAAGAAGGGATCTGACTTATAAAAGACTAGAATGTGATTAGAATGATAGAACATACCAAGGTTACCAAGAAATTGACAAGCTGCTGGCTTTAAGCTTATGCAAGTGGTAGTTGGGAAAGTAGGAGGTGTGGAAGGGGGTTTGCGTTTCGGAATAATTCATGCAAAATGAAGGAGGAAGCCTGGTCTAAGAAGATACTGTCTTTCAATAGAAATGATTTCTAAACTGCTACAGACTAAGAATGGATAATCTGATTGCTGTTGTTTTGTTTGTTTGGAAAGAAAAAATAATGTCTGGCTTCTTCTACTATTTGTTTTCACTAACAAACTGTGTTACTAAATTTCTTGTCATCCTTGTATGTAAAATGGGTGCTGGGGGTGGAGGGGTATAAGAGGAGGGAGAGTCAGAGTGTGTGTGTGTGTGTGCGAGTGTGAGTGTGTGTGTGCACACACACACACTGGGGATAGATAAGCTACCTGGTAAAGGGTTTGAACATTTACAAAGTGTTATACATTTTCTTAAAAGAAAAATGTTTTAGGGTTTGAATAAAATGGACCATCATTTCTCATTGGAACCCATTAATTAAGAAAACCAGCATGGTTTGACACCACATGGGAATATGAATAAATCTGTCTCATGATTTGAAAAGTACACTTTGCAAAGTTTTAAAAATAAAATTTTTAGGCAAATGCGATAAGAAACCATCATTTCCAGTCACAGTAGGTGATCTTTTGTAATTTCATAAAAGCAGTTCGTTTGCAGTATGGCTTTTGTGTAGTTAGGGGTTTTTTAAGCGTGAAGAAAGGTATGTGGGCTTTAAAAGTGATTCTAAATCTTGAATAGAAAATACATGAATTGGCTTTAATAAAAATGTCACCTTTTTATTATTGACATTAATTTAAGTAATGGTACCATATATTTTTTAAAATACATATTGACTTGAATTGTGAGGCAATAAGATACCTTCTATATGTAATGATCACAGAACTAACCCTTATAATATAGTTTTACTTATTTTGTTTACTCTAAAAATCTATAACAGAGTTTCTCTATTTTATATTTCATAGATTTAAAAAAACCCAAATAAAGATGGATTTAAAAATTCACTGTGGAAAAGAGTATTGAGTTACAAACTGAGAAGAAAAAGCAGGAAGTTCCTTAATAATCTGGAATATTCTACATGACTTGATTACATAGCAAACAAGACCAAGATTTAGGGCTGTCTTTAACATCACTGCCGTCTTGAAGCAGGGTACACACGTTAGGTATTGTGAAGAACATCAATCCGAACTTTTCTTCTGTTGTTTGCACTGATGCGATTTTTTGTTCTTTTATGTTTATACAACGTATCTATGTTGTGTAGGGGAATTTTTTTTCATTTTTAAAAAATTCTACTTTGATTTTGTTGTTGTTATTTTGTTTTGTTTTTGGCTAAGTAGAGGACATGGACTAGTTGTAGCAAACAAAACATGCTGTTTGCTCTTGCCAAAGGTCAGTGAGTGAGTACATTTGCTGCAGTGGTGGCACGTAGAGAACTAGATGGTAATAAAGATTTAAAACTATGAAGAAGGTTACAGTGTAACTATTTTGGTACTAGAACCAGTTCATGCTGGCCGAAACGACAATGGTTTATGGACTTGCATCCATTTTGTATTTTTGTAATATTTGTAAATATGAACTTTTTAAATTGCTGCAAAGATGGTTTCTTTTGTAAGATGTTTTCAGCGTTTACATTCAATCCAAGCCTTTGTATATTTTAGAGCTGTGCAACACTTTAAGTCTTGTATTTATTTTTAGTAAAAACGGTGACAGTTTCATTGTGAACCCCTCTCAAAAAAATGTATCAGAAAAGTTTGATTACCTAGAAAGTGTGTATAGAAACTGCAAATAAATGTGACTGCAATTAAACAATCGTTTTTTCTCTTCACTGTTACGTAATTGATTTCTTGGGCTTCACAAGTGTTTTACAGGCAACAGGACATAAGGGCAGGATCTATTATGGCAAAAGTAGGAACAAAAAGAACATAGACCAGCCTGTCCGACGTAGTGAAACCCGTCTCTACTAAAAATACAAAAATTAGCTGGGCATGGTGGCAGACGCCTGTAATCCCAGCTACTCTGGAGGCTCAGGCAGGAAAATCGCTTGAACCCAGGAGGCGGAGGTTGTAGTGAGCCGAGATCGCACCACTGCACTCCAGCCTGGGCAACAAGAGTGAAACTCCGTCTCAAAAACAAAAATAAAAAAATAACATATACTATAACTATAATGGACTCTAATCTAGCTTGGTATTTGAGAGGAAAAAGAATACATTTCCAACGTCCAGTATACTTTCTTTGTAGTTTACTACAAAGTATACTTTCTTTTCTTGGCCCCTCTCTGGGCCAAGAAAAGATGTATAGCTTTACTTTGAAATATCTGCCTGCTTTGCTTCTGATAATTACTCAGACTGTGTCTCCTTCCCAAGATGAGCAGCCTCGATATAAGTATGTAAGACTATATGCCACTAGATGATGTCACATAGCCTTTATTACAATAGCAAAATTCTATGCCAGGTACTGATCTAAGTGCTTTGCATACATTAACTCATGTAATCCCCATATTATACCCATTTTACAGATGGGGAAACTGAAGCACAAAGCGGTTACATGGTTTGCCTAAGGCCATAGAAGGACTGTGTTGGAGCTGGGGATCCAATCCAGTAAATCTGCCTTCAAGGTCTGTGTTAGTTCCCCAGTACAACTTCTGGGTGTTGGAGACTGGAATTATCTTGTGCCCTCCTCCGCCCCGCTCGCCCTTCCTCCCAGACCCGGCTCGGGCAACTGCTAACGCCCCGCCCCTCTCCTCATTCCAAGTCAATCACGGGGGTGCGTCCAGGAAACCCAGTTTACGTCGACGTCTCTGGTGCGTCACAGGGCGTGGGGGAGGGGCGGGATCACATTAAAAAAAAAAAGCTTCGGACACCCCAACAACGAAGTGGGGACACCACGTCCCTAACTACACCACCACTGGAAGGGTTGCGCATGCGCGCCAGCCTCCTGCGCAGCCGCAGAAACCACTCTCAGCGCGAGAGGCTCGCGAGTCTCTGAAAGGTCTAACCTCCATTTTCAATCCTGCGGGTCTTACGAAGAAAAACCTGAGGTAAGAGGCCCCGCCCCACAGCCATCTCCTCAGCAAATTCCCGCCCTCGGCCCCGCCCCACAGCCCCCTCCTTAGCAAATTCCCGCCCTCACCCAAGGGCTGGGAGAGCGCCTGCGGATTGGCCGATCAAAGGCGACGCCTGTCAGTGGCCAGACGCCGATTGGTCAGCGGGTAGTCCCGCCCCCCCCTCACCGCTAGTGTGGGAACTCGGCGTCGCGGGAGCTCTCTGATCCACTCAGGGGTCAAGGCATCACTGGTTTCTCGTGCGTGTGACCAGGTTTCCGGCGCCAGGGCCTTTCCGAAGCGTCGAGCGGCCTAACGGTCACAGCTGTCGCCCATCGGGGAGGCAGGACTACTGCGAGCAGTTTTACCGCGACCTCCGGAGGCCGGCGTGACAGGCTCTGTCGCTAAAATAGGTCTGTCCAGTCGTACTTTTTCCTCACCTTGAGCTTTCCTGTCACGGGAATACACGATTTGGCTTAGGGGCTGGGGCTCTCCTGAGGAGAGAGGGTTTGCTTTGCGGGGAAGAGCGAGTTTTGCACTTCGCAGCCTCAAATTTCAGCCGCGGTGTGGAGGGGGCTGCTTTGGGTGGTCCCCAAAGCCTTTCCGGAGTGCCCGCGCGTGTGAGCTTTTGAGATTTGACAATTTGTGAAGTGCTTGGTGCTGACTTTCGGGGATGACAGGATCCTTTTACAGTCGTTCTCCTATCAGGGGAGGCAGGTGGGGAGCGAGGAAGGATCCAGACTTTGTTAACAGAGCTTTGAGTTTAAAGAATTGACAAACTCCGGAGTTGATTTCCTGTCAGACCTTTTGCGGTTGAGACAGAGTCTGAGGCTTTGATGGTAACCGCGATTGATTAGAGACCGTGCAACTTCGCTGTTTTATTGTAAATACGTAAATGAGAAAGAAGAGAAAAACGTAGGGTGTCGGGAGCAGAGGCGGGAGTCGGGAGATCCTGCGATATCGGGGTCCCTGTGGAGCGGGGGAGGCCGTCGAGGCGTGCGAGGGTCCGGCCCCGGCCCCCTTGCCGCGCGGTCGTTAACAGGAAAGGCTCTGATTTGGTTGGTGGCGGATCGCGTCCCTCCCTCCTCTCCCCGACTTTCCCCAAGTGCGGCAAACTGGCTTCAGGTTGACTAAAAGAGAGCGGTTTTCCGAGCAGCTTTGCAGCGCGGTGTTTTCTAAAGCGGGCCGTGGGCTGGGTGCCCTTTTGGGCCTCACTTGTCCGGCCTGCGGCAAGTGCTGGGCGATGGGATACGGTTCTGGCGGCAATGGAAGGGCTGCCTTGGAGAGTCTCGCAGGAAGATTTAGAAAGTGATTGTTCTTAAAACAAACGGAGCGGTCTGGCTGTTGTAATTGGCCCCGTTTTGCTTGTGTTTCTCAAAGTGGTCCCGGCGTGAGTGGTGCTTCATTGTGAGCTGTGCCTTATCTGATGAATTAATGGCAGGTGAAAGCCTTGAGCCTCCAGAGCGAATAGTTAACGACTTTTGAAAATGTCTTTAATGTCTAAAAAAGTCTCTTAGAAAAGCAGACGGCCTCTTGTTCTTATGTTATCAAGAGTTTAGATTTCTGTGATAAACATAAGTGAGTTTCATTTTAAGTAAGCTCATTTTGCGAGATTTGAGATTTGAAAGTGAAATTAATTAATTATGCACAATCTAGCCTTGGGCTCTGAGAAGATGTCAAGCTGTAATTAATCTTGTGGGACGAAGTGAAAAGGAACTAAAGTGTATGGTATAATGAATAGTTTAAATTTCTGTGGTAAATACAAGTGAGTTTCATTTTAAGTAATCTCATTTTTACAGGATTTGAGATTTAAAAGTGAAATTAATTAATTTTGCACAATCTAGTCATGGTTGGGCTCTGAGAAAATGTAAAGCTGTGATTTATCTTATGGAAAGAAGTGAAAAGGAATTAAAGTATATGGTGTAATCAAGAGTTTAAATTTCTGTGGTAAATGCAAGTGAGTCTCATTTTAAGTAAACTCATTTTTACAGGATTTGAGATTTAAACGTGAAATTAGTTCATTTTGCACAATGTAGTCATGGTTGAGCTCTGAGAAAATGTTGTAAAGCTGAAATTATATTGTGAGAAGAAGTGAGAAGGAACTAAAATGTGTGGTATTATCAAGAGTTTAGATTTCCGGGGTAAATATAAATGAGTTTCCTTTTAAGTACGCTCATTTTTGTGGAATTTGAGATTTAAAAGTGAAATTAATTTTGTACAATCTAGTCATGGTTGGGCTCTGAGAAAATGTTGTAAAGCTGTAATTTATCTTGTGGGAAAAAGTGAAAAAGAACTTAAATTTATGGTGTTATCAAGAGTTGGCCAGGCACGGTGGCTCACGCCTATAATCCCAGCACTTTGGGAGGCCAAGGCGGGCAGATCACTTGAGGTCAGAAGTTCAGGACCAGTCTGGCCAACATGGTGAAACCCAGTCTCTACTAAAAGTACAAAAATTAACTGGGCATGGTGGCGCACGCCTGTTACGCTAGCTACTCAGGAGGCTGAGGGAGGAGAATTGCTTTAACCCAGGAGGCAGAGGTTGCAGTAAGCTGAGATCATGCCCCTGCACTCCAGCCTGGGTGACAGAGTAAGACTCTGTCTCAAAAAAAGAAAAAAAAAAGAAAAGAAAACAAAGAGTTTAGACTTCTGTGGTAAATATAAGTGAGTTTCATTTTAAGTAAACTCATTTTGTGGGATTTGAGATTTAAAAATGAAATTAATTTTGCACATTCTAGTCATGGTTAGACTCTAAGAAAATGTCGTAAAGTGTAATTGTTTACCTTAAGGGAGGAAGTGAAAAGGAATTAAAATTTGTGGTGTGTCTACTGTGAACCAGGCATGATGCTGAGAGTTTAACTGTATTTTTGGCCTAAATAGCCCCATGAAGTAGATATTTTTACAACTTTACCGGTTAGAAAATTTGAGGCACAGAGAGGTGAAATATTTGCCTAAAGTGAAATGGCAAATTTGGCAATTTGGACTTGGATTCAAGTGTTTATAACTATAGCCCAGCTCCTTGCATCATGCCCTGGTACCTAAAAGACAACAATTCATTTCAGGTGCAATGTGAATAAAAATTACATGTTATGACCCAGGCTTGTTGTCTATGTGCTCCTTGAGACATAGTTCTGTTGGATAGATGTGGTCAATACTCAAAATTTGAGTATTGCTGTCTTTGCCATGCATTACTCTAAGCACTTGATATGTATTAGTTCATTTAATCCTCACAATTCCATGAGGTATGTGCTATTATCATTCCCATTTTACAGACAAAAAAAAGCACAGAGGATTTAAGTAAGTTGTTCAACTTATTTACACAGCTAGTATGTGGAGGAGGTGGGACCCAAAGCCAGGTATTCTGACCACAAGCCTAAGGTCTTAATGCTGCTTGATGCTGCCTCTCACGTAACCAGATATGTGTGACAGTTGCCGTAGAAGTATTAAAGTGTGAGTGTTCTTGTAGTTCAGGGAAAGTCATGTCACATCCACATGGGATGATCATTGGCATGGTGCCCTTGCTTTTTGGAGGTGAAACTTGAGTTAAGCCTTGAAGTTGAATAAGTTCTCCTAGGCGGAGATACAACAGGGTATTATGGACGGAGGGCATAATAGGAGCGAGAAGATCAAAGAGTGCAAGATTGGTGTTGATTTGTATATATACCAGAGATGTAAACATGTTGGGAGTCCAGTGGTGGACTCACTGCACAGTGCTCCTGTGTCTAGGGAGTTCTCTGTTCTCTGGATGTAAGAGCTTGTAACCATTGTCTGCAAACTTGCCTGAAACAGGCTACATAGTAAATATTTTAGGCTTAGAGCTGCCCTCCCTAACCTTTTTGGCACCAGGAACCGGTTTTGGTTTTGTAGAAGACAATTTTTCCACAGATGCAGGGACGGGGGAGTGCTAGCAGGGTATGGTTTCCTAATGAAACTGCTTCTTAAGGAGAGTGCAACCTAGATCCCTCCCATGTGCTGTTCACAACAGGGTTCATGCTCCTGTGAGAATCTAATACTGCAGCTCATCTGATAGGAGGCGGAGGTCAGGCGATAATCCTTCCTAGCTCCTGCTTTGCTCCTAACAGGCCAAGGACCAGTACCAGGCGGTTGCCCGGGGGTTGGGGACCCCTGGCTTAGAGTAAAGGGGCAAGTGGTAAGAAGTGACCTCTGTGCAGTGGGCGGGGTCCTGATTATGGAAGGACCTTGCAGGCCATGGTGAGAGTATGAATTTTACTGTGTTATTGATAGCAAAGGTATTCCAGGTGATTTTAATAATGAAGTAAAGTGCATAGAGTGTGGTGGTAGACTGCACCATTTACTAGCTATGGGACCTGGGTAAATTACTTAAATCAAGTTTGTCCAACCCGCCTTATTTTGTTGTTGTTGTCATTGTTGTTGTTCTGTTTTGTTTTAGGCTTTTGGCAGCCTGAAGCTATGCTTTTTAGTTTCTGTCTCTAGGGATAAGTGGAAAAGAGGGATGAGGAAGGGGCTTTACTGGCCCAACCAGAAACAAACTAAGAACCCATGACTGTATTCTCTCCCTTGGACACCTCTAATAAACGTTCTTTGCTTCAGTTTCCTCATAAGGAAAATGGGGACAGTAATAGAACCTATCCCACAGGATTGTCAGTAATTTAGCAAGATAGAATACCTAATGAAAGAATCAAAAGAAAGTACAAATTAAATTAGAAATAAAAATTTAAAACTGTGGCTTTGCTAAAAATTCTGTAATTATGATGAAATGATTATCCTTCTGGATAAAAATAATTTGTCAAAACAACTCAAGAAAAAAATAGGATAATTTGACTAGATCATCAACCATGGAGGAACTTAGAAAATGTTATAAAAACTGGACCCAGAGAGTTTTTTTTAATAAATTCAACCCTTTAGAGCACAAAAATTCTGGTGTGATGTAAACTTTTTTAGAGTATAGAAAGAGGTGAAAGCCTTCCCAGCTAATTTTGCAGAGAAATTTTGATACCAAGTGTTAATAATGTATCAATACAATACTGATTCATTAATTATGAGAAATATACCATCTCACTAATGTAAGAGCTTAGAAATAGAGATGCAAACAATTTATAAATAAAACACCAATAAATTGAATGTTGTTCTTTATAGTCAGCTGGACCCCTCACCCCAAGAACATTAAGAAATGTATTAATATGTTGCATCAGTAGATCTAAGGAGAAAAGTCACTTAGTCATCTGATGCCAAGAAGCTATTTGGTACTATTTACTATCTGTCCTGGTTTTAAAACTACGTGCAGGACCCTACCTTAGTTTATTTTGGAACATCTGGTTGACCCCAACAGCCCTCCTTAGTGGGAAGAAGTAGAGGAGGATTTTCAAACATGGAGACCTACTCATTGTTTCTACCTCTAGGAATTTATCCCATAGAACTACTTGCACAGGTGCAAGACTGTTCTGCAGTGTTCTTTATAAGAGCAAAACTTTAGAAGTAACTTGAATATCTATGAATTGGGGGCTGTGTTTAATAAATCATGGCATATTTACAAGATAGAACACCAAGAAGTCATTACAGTAACTACAGTAGACCTAAAAGTATTGGTTTGGAAAGACTCTTTCCACCACAGGTGGTTTTGCCTGTTTTTGAGTTTAATATCAATTGAGTAATATACTGTACTCTTTTGTGTCTGGCTGTTTTTAAACTCAAGGTTATGGTTGTGAGATTCGGCCTTGCTGTGTACAGCAGTAGTTGGTTTATTCTCATTGCTGTGAAGTTCCTTTGTATGAATATACCACAATTTAATTACTGATAGCTTGTATAAGTTTTATGGTCAGAAAACTCAGATAGTTTAAAAAGTGAAATTTGATTGAAGTTACAGCTCCAATTAGAGGTATTTTATAACTTGATACTTTTATGCAACATTAGTCTGCATTTATCTAACTCGAGTTAGCTCTCCCATCTTCTTTATCCCCTTTTTATTTCTCTCTTTTGGGTTCATGGTCATTAGTATCTCCACTACAGAATGAAAGGGAAACAGGAAAGAGATGAAACCTGAATCACTTAATTGTGCCTCTCATTACTGCTCTGGCTCAGGAAGAATAAAGTGGGGTAGCTCTTTCATTAAGGTACCCTTCCCAGTAACTGTGATGCAGACATTCAAAGCAAATCTCTAGTACAAGATATAATCTGATACTGTTGCAGCCAATGTTTTCTAGTTCCGTAGTTAAGTGGCTCAAAGCCATAACCAAATCTTCCTAATTTTAGATTGTTTGGCTTACCTTTCACATCCATTTATTTAGGTTTAATATAAAATTTAATAAGGCAATCCTAACTTGAAAGTTGAAATGGACCTTAGAGATCATCTCAACTGGTATTCGAAACCTGGTGGATGAGGAGGTGGTGTCTCTCGTGGTCGGCCCAGCCTACATAGTGGTGGGGACCCAATCCAGAATAGACTCCTGGCTTACATTTTGGAGGCAATGCTTTCTCCTTAGTCAAGAGCCTTTTGGAGCTCATTTACAAAAGCAGTTAGCCCTTGCTTGTTCATTTGTTTGCCCTTCTCTTGTTCATTTGTTTCCAGCATTTACTCTGTAGGCTTTAAGTTACTAAGCAGTTACTTCACAGTTTGTAATTGTGTTTGATTTGATTCTTATTTCTAGTCATGGGCAATATAGCCCTTCAGTTTTAAAAGATTTATTCTAAATTGGCCATGGAAGAATTCTGGTTGTGTCACTCTCTAAAATTCAACCCAAAGTCCAATTCTATTTGAGTTAGCATTCTGAGAGTATATCCATATTATTAAGGTAGTAAGTGTATGAAGTAACTTTTTTATGCGTTGCTTTTCAGGAGTAGAGGTTTACCACTCTTAGGTGACTAAGCAGTATCACAAATAAACCCTCCAGCAAGTTTAAAAATAATTAGGTCCAACTCAGAGGAAGTGGAGTTTCTCCTGTTGCACAAAAATGATGTCTAGCAGCTCCAGTGAAATCGATGTGGTTTGTATTCAAATTGAAAATCTGTCTTTGTTCTTTTTATTGTGCTATACTTCTATTCTAAATTTAATTTAATTTTATACAGTGAAATGCATAGATCGTAAGTAAATTTTTGTTATGTATTTTAACAGTAATATATAAAGTTCTTGTGACAATTTGTGTACAAGTTTCTTTGTGAACACACACTTATGTTCCTTTTGGGTGAACAGACAGAAGTTGAATTACTAGGTCATGGAGTTCATGTAAATTTAACTCTGTGAGAATCTGCCATACAGTTTTTCAAAGTGGTTGTGCTGTTTTTACATTTCTGTTATAGTCTTCTGTCTTTCTTAATCCTTCAAGTTGAATCAGTATGTAGATTATTAAACTATAAATAATATGGCTTAACAAAAAACATCTTTTTTTGTTACATAAGCACATAGATATTAATGCCACCTAAGCAGTCTAAGCAATTCTCTTAACTACTATCAGTCCTAATGTTTTTCAAAAATCTTTGGAGATAATGTCAACTGCCTACCAAGAGTCATTTTTCTCTGACATAACTATGTAAAAGCACTTTGAAAAGCGTAAGGCACTATACAGGGGTAAGATAGTATATTTTTAAAAGTACTAAACTGTAACCCAATTCCATATGTTTTTGTGATTTCTATCATGTATTTTGAAACAAAAACATACATAACTACCAAGTATGTTTGTTATAAAATTATTCCCATAGTTCATAATTCATTCTTAGAATGAAGAGTTATTATACTGAAATGTAATGGTTATTTACTCCTTACTTATTTATACCCTGCCTTATTTTTTGAAGTTTTAAGGTACTTTAGAGATTAATTTATCAAGAAAAGCAGGTGCTCAAATATTTTCTATCTTGTCCACAGAGGGGCACTGTTGGGTTATTTAGAAATCAAAAACCATGTAACATTTATTTCTTTGTTCATGGTTAGAAATACTTGCTTTTAAAGTAGTTCTGGTGCTAAAGGACTAGTCTTTCTACCATGAAGCATATAAAGGGTTAAGCTCAGTGAAAACTGTTGTCTTAAGTGTAGTTGGGTTAATGAGAACACAGTTCTGCAAATACATCTTTTCACGTAGTCATAGTATTTACAATGAGCAAAGGTCCTTTGATATCAGAAATAGGCCTTTGTAACCTCTTGAAAGTGAAATTAAACCCTCAACTTTTCTTTTAATTCTGTCTTTCATCTTTCCTTTTAATTTGTTGATAAATCTTCCTCAGGTAAAAACAAGAATACCTACTTATGATGAAGATGACGACACTATTTTTTATGCATATGAAACAAAACCTGATTTTGTCAATAAAGTAAGTATATTAATTGCTAATTGCCAAATATATTAACATTTGCTGTTTTAAAGGAAAAGATGTAAATTCCTCATATACTATGGAGTTCCCGTAAACTCACACTCAAGAAAATCTCTCTCCCCTGAATTTGTATGCTTTCTTTCATCAGAGAATGAGCACTTAACCAATTTACTTTCCCCTTTTTCTTATATAGTAGAAAATTAAGAGCAGTTTTGTACTTACTTTCAGTATAAAACTCTAAACCTGGGTTCTTCTGATATAATAAATTCTTTTCTTGCCCCCTTCCTCAATTGTCAGTTATTTTCATTGTCATATTAATGTGAATTTTAAAAATATCTGATTATTTTAAGACTTCTGAAACCCCTTGAAAAGTTGGTGATAAATAAAAACAGTTTAAATAAATAAATATAGTTCCCCCCCTGCCCCCGGTGTTCAGTTTGGCTGTTACAGAAATAAATCATTAACTACTTTTAAAATATTAGCAGGAACCGAAAACTGTATCTGATGCATCCTGTAATACTGAAGAGCAACAGAAGACAGTTAATGATGTCATTATCTATTGCCAGGTATGGAAGTTCTGTCTCTTCAATGTAGTTTTCTAAAATGTTAAGCAAAAATTCTCTTTATCCCACATAAAGGGAAAGTGTACAATTAATTGAAATTTTGCCTATCAAATTATTTATGATTATCACCCCATTGTGATGATTTTTTAAAAACAATTTCTAGTTAGAACTGCATCTCCTGAATAGCAACATGTAGATTTTATAGCTTTTTAAAAATCCCATTACCAACCAAATGTAGTTATGTCTCTTTCATCTACATTGCTCAGTAATGAATTAGTTTCCCCTACAAAATCCTTAAAGGAAATTGACTGATTTGGATGAAATTTAGTATGTGCCTAAATGTACATCAAGATGTCTCAATGGAAACAAAATGGCAACCCATCAAGGTTTTGTAAAGAAACATACCTAAGTTAGTTTTGAGGGGTTGTTGTAAGAATCACCATGTTGGTAGAGATGTGATTACTGGGAATTTTGTGAGTTGCATACCCCAGAGGTAATGAAGGTTTGTACATATTTAAAAATAATGTTTCTTACCATATATAAGGTTTCTTGAATGGAATGAGCTAACATACTTTGGAAAGTAAGATTGTTTGGGTGTTTATCATGATCATGGGGGAGAACAGAAGTGGAGTGCTTCCAAGGGACACATGCAGTCTTGGGGGGAAGTGGGTGCAGAGGCGAGCTGGGAAGGGAGGGAGCAGGTTCTCCCTAGCCTGCCTCCCCATGCACTGCTAGGTCAGGGTCCCCCTTGGCAAGCCTGCACACTGAGGTGGGAGGTAGCATCTGTAGGGGGAGGTGCCCAGGGCCATGGTCAGCCTGAAATGGCCCCAAGGGCCCCTCTCCATTGCTGCCAAGGGCCTGGCTCTTTCTTCCCCTACCCATTCTAGATCACAGAGGTGGTGCTCCAATCTGCCTTGTTCTTCCATCCCAGTTCCCTCTTGGGTGCATCTCCATCCTGCTTAGGCTGGGAGCAGAGGAAGACCTGGCCATCCCCTGCATACCTCAGCTCCCTAGTCCTGCCTTTTCACTCCTGGAGATAGTGGAGCACCTGGGGCAGTCCTCTCCTCCAAGTCCTCATAACTGTACCCACAGCCAACCAACTGCCCTCATCTCCGCCCTTCTGACCCCTTCCTGACTATTCTAGTGACCAGGGCTGATGCCCTTGCTGCTTTCTGCATCTAGTCCCCTCCCCCAAACTCAGAGCTGCCCCGCATCACATCGGGCATCCCTCTCTCTCTCCTCTGGCTCCAGTCCCTGTCCCTCCTTCCCCTCTACAAGTTCTCCCACATCTTGGAGAAGCCGCTTCTCTTGCTTCCCATCCCTCCTTTCCTGTCATCCTCACTCTCTCCTTCCCGTGACAGCCCTGCTCCTGGAATGTCATTCATACTCGCTGTCTCCACACCTGGCTTCCTGTTTTTCTCTCTGGGTATTTATGAAGCTGCTGTTCCTTCTATGCTGTAAGCCCTTCCATGCATCCTCACCTGGCGAGGGCCTTCTCATGTTTTAATTCTCACTTCAGACCTTACCTCCTCTGAAAAGGTCTCCATGACTGCAGCGTGGGTTAGGACTGCTTTTCTGTGCACACTTAGCCTCCTGTTCCCGCCTGTGTCACACTACTACTGGTAATCACAATAGTAACATTAAGAGACCACTGAGCACTGTTGGACTGGGCATAGTGTAGTGCTGTTACTGTTAGTATTAACCTAATACTATAGCAAGGTTCTCATCCTTGAGAGAACCCTGAGAGAGATTTTCATCCTGATTCCCTACATGAGGACATTGAAGCACAGACAGGTTAAGTAACTTGCCCAGGGTCACACAGACAATAAGTGGCTGGACTCTAGTATTTGACCCCAACCATGTTCCCCAAGAGCCTGCACTGTTTACCTCAGTGCTGCAGCCCAGTGGTTCTCACTAGGGACATCAGAATCACATGGGGGACTTGTGAAAACATAGACCACTGCCCCCACTCTCAGAGTTCCAGGTTCCATAGGTCTGGGGTACAACCTGGCATTTGGCATTTCTAATGAGCTTACAGGTGATGTTGATGCTACCGGTCCATGGACCACACTTTGCAAACCACTATTCCAGACTGTTTATTACTTTGTAATCCTCTTTTTACTTGTCTCTCTCCCAGCTGAGATGGTAGTTCCTCTAGGACAGGCTGGAGTACAGTGGTGCAGTCATGGCTCACTGCAGCTGCAACTTCCCAAGCTCAGTGATTCTCCCACCTCAGCCTTCCTAGTAGCATGGACTACAGGCATGCACCACCACGCTTGGCTAATTTTTTGTATTTTTGGTAGAGACAGGGGTTTCACCATGTTGCCTAGGCTTGTCTCCAATTCCTGAGCGCAAGCAATTCGCCTGCCTTAGCCTCCCAAAGTGCTGGGATTACAGGCATAAGCCACTGCACCCGGACAGGAGCTTTTTTTTCGGTTCATGTTCTCAATACCTAGCAAAGTAGTTCTGCCAGGTTGTAGGCCATCAATAAAGGTTTAGTTGAATGAGTGAATGAATGAATGAATTAGGAAATGTTTCTGGCCCTTTGTTAAGTGTATTTTTCTTTGCCAAAAGTTTCTGTGTATTTCAAGAAGAATTCTCAGATTTTTATCAGTCTCCTATGTGCTCGATTGGCACATAAGAGATGTGTACTTAACGGTTTTATAAGGTTAATTGCTGACTGCATGATTTAAAAATACTTTGAAGCCAAAAGTCACATCTGTTATATTTGGTTCAGTGTTCTTTCTGGAATGGAACACTCACTGTCTGTATATAATATAGACTTCATATTTGTACCTATATGAACATATATGTTACATATATATATATATCATAAAGTGAGTCTTTGTTCTTTTAGCAGATTTCTTTCCTAAAATAGCACCTTCCTTGATGTGCAGTCTTTATCATCAACGTGCTGGCGTAGAGGCATTGTGTAACATTCATTCACCAGCATTACAGCTTCCTCAGTGCCTACATGGAATAGAGCAGGGGAGGGGACGCTGGGGCTCCTGAGCTCAGCCTGTTGGCTCTGTGTCACCTACAGCCAGGCCTTGAATAGGAGCAAGACATTTCTGATGGCTTGAGAACTTTTGTTGTGTCTAGCAGTTAACATTTGGCTTAATGGTATTTTTGCGTTACTTTTCTTTGAAATAGAAATTATATATTGTATACCAATTATATAACTACATTGTATTATAATAGGTTATATATGATGCTATGCAAAACCTGGATAAGAAGATTGATGTGATTCGTAGAAAGGTTTCAAAAATCCAACGTTTCCGTGCGAGATCCCTGTGGACAAACCGTGTAAGTGTTATAAAAAACATTTTTACAACTGTGATAAACCTCTGGTTTGTAAAGATGCCAATAAGCTAGAAGTGAGAGAGTACCAGTATCTGTGTGAGATTAGCAAGGCATATCTATACTTGTAGCAGTAGATGGAGACTAAACTCTGCTGGGAGAACACTGAAGTTTAGGTTTGATGACTTATGACACTGCGTATTTTTATGTTTGTAATTATAATGTGTAAAATACAATGTAGGATTGAAGAATTATATAATTATATAATCAAAAGGGAGCATTTATTTTTAATAACGTAAAGCAATGTTTCATGGAAAATAAGTATTAATGTATTTACTACTCATTTTTTTTTACTCTCTATTGGTTTATGCTGTATTTGTGTGATTTCAGAAGCGATACGGATACAAAAATTATTCTTACCAGCTTGCTAAAAAGCTGAAACGCCAGAAAATGAAGAAAAATGAGGTTCACGAGTCATTCTCCTACCCTGAAAGTTATAGCCCCACTTTACCAGTGTCAAGGCGTGAGAATAATTCCCCGAGCAACCTTCCAAGGCCATCCTTTCGCATGGAAGAATACCAGCCAGCTGAGCCGGAGGAGGACCCGATCCTCAGCCGCACTCCGAGTCCAGTGCATCCCTCAGATTTCTCCGAGCATAATTATCAGCCGTATTATGCATCTGATGGTGCAATGCATGGTTCTTCTTCAGGGCCCTGCCTTGGCAACCCTAGGGCTAACAGCATCTACAACACTTACTCGACTCACCATGCTTCTGCAGCACAACCTTCAGGTATGCTGGCCCAGGGAGAGCCCAGTTTGGTACATGCCCCTGAGATGATGAGTTACTCAGCTTTGATGGAGAATAGGTACACTGCCTCCCTTCTGGTTTTGGTGAGTTTGAAATGCCATATTTACAAGTAGCACTCTTTGACCTGTATTTATCAACATCCTTGATGCAAACTAGTGGAAGCTGTTCGTTTCCTATTTTGAGGGCTGGTTTTAGGTGATAATAAGAATGATGACTAACATTTATTGAGTGCATATTATGTGCAAGGCACTGCATCAGTCAACTGACATGCCTCTTCTCCACTTATAATGACCCCATGGTGTTGGCACATTTATTACGCCATCCCCAAGGTCACAGAGCTGGTGAGTAGCACTTCTAGAACTCTGCCCCATTGTGCTTTTTAAAATCTTCTATTTTTATTTACCCTTTCCCTAGATAAATAAAAAACATTCCTGATATGGCAAGAGCCCAGATGGTAGGGAAGAAAGGGTATGTTTTTGGCTAATTCACACACAAAAAAAGATCAAATTGTGTTGATAGTCCTGGTTGGAGAAACAAATTTTCTTAACCAATTACAAAACCCACTTTAGTCATCACACACTAATTTTAGGGAGTCTAACACTCTGGGTGAGTAAAAGGATACTTGTCAATACACAAAGAAATTTCAACACAACTTAGTGTAGAGCATAGCTAAAACTTCCTGAAGCATGAGCACTAGTTTATCTCATATCTCAGTTATTTTTTTAACATATAAACTTTTGACCAAAATCTCTATTACTATGCAATTAAACATGAAAGAGGAATTAAATAAAATGTTAGTTACTTCTGACCTAGTTCAGCAGAAAATAATCTTGTTTTCTTCAAAATGCACATTAGCACTTAAGCCATGAGAGACAGGAAATCTAAAGAGTAAAACGATACTAAAAATAACCTTATTGAATACATGGGGAAGATTTGATAAAAGTACTAATTTGGCTCTTAAAGATAATGGGGTTGTTATTGAGATTCATTGGTTAAAAGGAACAAATTTAAGCAATTATAAAACTGTAAATTTGGAGAATTTCCATTATATTTTGCTAGTAAAATCAACCTAATCTAGATAGAGAGATTAAGAGAGAAATTCCTTGAAATACTTGAAGAGGGTCATAGGTTAGGTTAGATTAACCTAATTTTACCCAAGTGACAGATCTTTTGCCATATTTGCCTGTGGCCAAAGAAGACTTGGTTTGCTTAGTCTGTTTTGTGATCTTTGAAACTTTAATGTAACTTCTGAACATGCTTTTGCTATTGGGGGAGGTCAGATGGGACACTCTTGTGTAGGCATCCCTACATCATCTTTATATAGGCTTTCACTAGATTTTACAGTTGGAGTCTTGACTCCTTGCTAGGAACGTCACAGAAGATTCCGACAAAGAGACCATTCCTCCCTACCTAACATCTCTTCTTTCAGGATAATGATCAGGTCGAGTGTGATTTGTCTTTTTTTTTCCCCCCCCCCCCCCCCCGCCCATTGAAGTTACAAGCTCACCATTTGAAAATGACCGTTATATAGAGGAAGGAAGCATCACTAAGCACCCTTCAACCTGGTCGGTGGAAGCTGTGGTCCTGTTTCTAAAACAAACAGATCCTCTTGCATTATGCCCTCTTGTCGACCTCTTCAGAAGCCATGTAATGTATCTTGTGATCCTGTTTTCCTGCTGTAATGCCTTTGAATGACCTCTGTGCAGGTCTTTCAGTTGGATACTGTGTGAATGGTGGGAGAACCCTATTAGCTGATTTTTCCATATATGAGAAAGCTTATTTTGCCCAAGGTTAGCCTTAAATGGTAGGCTAATGGTCTGTTCTTTAAATGGGTATCTCAGTGCCTAAAATACAAACTACCTCAGCCTCTCAAAACATTATGATTCAGCATGGCCACTCAGGTGTACCTCACCTTTGTAATGACAGATATAAGGATCCTCCCCCTATCTGCTCCCAGCTGGGCACCAGGACCACAAGGAGGAGGGGGTAACCACAAGCTATAACAGGGTGGCCTTCTTTTTATATAACCAGTGATTCAACAACTGATTCCATTTGCCTCGATTATTGATTTGCGATGCTAATACCCTCTTGCTGTTATCAGACCATTCACAAAGTAATATCCTAGGCTGAAGTTTTATAAGTTCTAGTTTCTTTAATTTTGAGTTTTACTTAGTAGAAAAAGTATAGAAGGTGCCAAACAAAGGTCGTACTATAAGAGATTTCAGGTCTTTTCAGATAGTGTTAAATGAGTAAATAAAATTTTATTTTTAAACTGGAACATATAAAACCAAATTACATGCTTTAACAGCATAAGTTGATCAATTAAGATAAGGAATTTTAGGAGGATGCTTTGTGACTATGTTTTATTTATTCAGATATTTTCACAGTGTGTCCTAACAAAATTAGTAGCCACATATCTGATTTTTAATATAGTAAGAAAATTGGTGATTAATTTTAGCATCTAATTAGCTTCAGACAACTAATTGGCATCCATCATAAAGACAACATTGTATAGACATTTACAGTTTGCACTGATGTTGACATACTCATCTTCCCAGCCCTTCTCAGAAAGCTAATGAACATCTGAAATTCATTTTTACTATTCATAGTCTTTACTATTTTGTCATGAATGTGTAGTATTTTATTCAACGTACAGTATATATTTAAAATTAAGTTTGACACAGTTTATTTTTTAAGATATTATGTTAAATTTCCTTTTTCTTAGAACTTGAAGTGAGTTTATACATTACCAAATGGTGCTTCACTGTACAAGTTATATTTTTAATAGTTTTCATAAAGTAGATGCATATTCAAAGAATATACATCTGCAATGAGCTGCTCTCTAGTTTGCTTTACATGTTCTCATAAAGAACTAACCATTCTGATGAAAATATGGAATCATTATTAATTAGCATTGTTTCTTCTCTCCACAGGAAATTGATGGGAAGGCTCTGCTCCTACTCACCAGCGACGTGTTGCTGAAGCACTTGGGGGTGAAGCTGGGAACGGCTGTGAAGCTATGCTACTACATTGACCGACTTAAACAAGGAAAATGCTTTGAAAATTGAAAAAATCCTTGTGCAAATTTAGATTGGGCCAACTTCTAGAGGGACCAATGCCTTCTTAGTGTAGAATCATTTTTCTACCCTTTAGTCGTTTTTGTTTTGTAGAAAGTATCACTCAAAATATATCATAGCTAGAATTGTAGAACTATGTTATAGTCCAGTCTACTTCTTTAAAAACCATTTAACTGCTAGATAGTATTAGAATAGTCCAATAGGAAATTCATTCTTCATAGGTCTTTAAACATTACTTTTATTATATTGTTTACAAATATATTTCATGCAAGCAACAGAAAAACAAAACCAAAAAGCAAAAAAACCCTTTGATTCTGGTTCATCTCGATACAGAGAACCAAAACAGCTAAGAGAGGTATTATCAGGGGTTGACAACTTCTATGATTGAATCTATGGGAATTATTCCCCAGAAGAGAATTTAAAGGTATACCCATAGATATCTCTTTCTGGAGTATTTTATCTGTCTGATGTTGCAGTGTTCTACCAGTTTCCAGAAAGAGAATAGCCATATAAATTCTTTTCCTTTCTGCTATTATTTCTCTATATGTTTTATTTATTCAGATTTAGAGAAAAAAATAAGCTCATAAACTTTTATTAAGTGCTCCTAACAGTTTTAAGATAAACTATAAGATAGATAGAATGGTTATTTTATGCAAGAAATATTGTACCGCAAGGGTGGTTTGGATGAAGTCTGACTACTTTTTTTCAAACAAACTATTACATTAAAACTTTCATATTTTGGCTAAGTTTGGACATATAACTACACTTACATTGTTTGCATCTCTCTATGAAGATACCTCTGTCCAAACTTTTAAAAGACATAACTTTATTTTATGTGTTTATTCTTTATATAGATAGTATTTTATATTTTATTCTCACCTAAAGTATACACACAAGTAATCTTTTTTAAAAAAATTTAAAATGGCATTTTGTATTGCCACAGAGGTGGGATGAGCCATATATTAGTGAGATGTTTTATTTTGTAAAATGTAATTGGATTATTTGCCATCACTAGTACCTCTCAACTTACTTTTTAGAGGACAAGAAACAATCTGTAGATTGGTTTCCATACAGGGAAGTTCTCTGTCCTATGCAATGTTTCTAATTAATTTGCTTAATTCTGAGCCATTAATCCTGCTACACTTTGAATGATACATTAATTCAGACTAATCTTTGGGGGCTTTATTTTGTAAGTTAGAACTTCCAAGGGAAACATGTTCAACACTATTATTTTGTTATAAATTTATAACTTTGTTATTACATTGTATAACAAATACAAGGTTTATAAGCTATGAGAATTGGTGCTATCACCATTAGCTATTCGTTATAAATGTCAAGAAAATGTTCACCAGGTGCAAGAATGTACCTTTTCTTTTTAGAAAGCCAGATGTACTTTAGACATGAATGCAGCTATTTAAAGAATAGCTTCATCTATGTTATTCCTTATATGTCATAAGATTCTTACTTAAACTTGGTCTTCTTTCAAATTGTTTGTATGAAGATGCTGTACCCACTTGAACAGTCCTCAGGTGTTTACATAAATACTATGTTTTACAGTTTTCATATTTTAAAATATTAATAAAATTAAATCACAGTAGTTCATTGAAAGCCTCAGCTGTGATTTCATTTATCATCACCGTATTACATTAATGTGTGTATTTGTTGTAATGTGTGAACTGAAACAGAGCCACTCTAGTAAGCTTGTGGCTTTCCATGTCCAAATACTTGAGTTTTAAAACCTGCCCAGATTCTAATGCTAAACAGATGTCTAAGAGCCAAGGGCTGATTTCTTATAGGTGTCTTCAATGAGATCCCATGGGGGCTGTAAGAAGTTCAGTCGATGAGCCATATCTGTACTCAGAGCCTTTGTTATTTATGATATCATCAGTGATGCGAGAGTGCTAGAAAATGCCCGTGCCCCGAGATGTCTCATCCCATCTGAGCCTGTACGCCTGGCTGGCAACTCTGGCTGCTCTTTTACCACTGGGGGCCAGAGGCCGCCTCCTGCATGCACCTGCTCTTGGCCCTCTGCCTTCAGATGGTCCAGCTGCCCCGGTGGGATGCCTTTGGAGGACTGGGGTTACAGTTGCGTAGCCTCATTTATCCAACCCCTACCCCGACCCCGACCCCAGGAGCGGCGGCTCCAGCTGATTAACCCAGAAACCCTCACTGCTCTTACTCCCCAGCAACGTGTCCTGTGATTCACTGGAGACAATAGGGCCCTGACTGAGGCTCCAGGGGTGATGCTCAGTGACTGGAATGGGGGTGTCAATTTGAGTGATCTGAGACTTGAGTAATTCATGGCTCCTTTTTTTCTCCTATCTTGTTTATAAATTTTTAGTCCATAGACTATCATGCCATATTACCCTTCCTGTGAATTTTCCAGACTTGAAATGATCTTCCTCTAGCTTTGCCTCTCATTCCATCCTTCGATGCTTTGTAACCTGCAGAATTCTGCATCTTGAACTCTAAGACCTTCCAGGAACACCTAGCATTTGCTTTAGTCTTTCGTCTGCTTGATTTCGTATCGTTGAAATGTCTTACAGTACATGTTCTAGAGTGGGATTTCCCAAACTTTTAAACCAAGGCCTCCCTCTGCAGGCATAGAAACACCAGGCCCTTCTGTAACATTCAAAAATAAAAAGTAAATACTGTGAGTAGTGACAGTGTAATTGGGAGGAAAAGCACTGCTTTTTCAAGCTGCAGAAGGGATTGTCCTCGCAGTTGATTGAGTACGTGAAGTAGGTTAAAATTTCTGGGGCTATAGCTTGATGCTGGAGCTTGCACACAAAGTCCCCTGAGGCTGATCCAGGCAATGTGAGAGAGCTTTAGGTTTGAGAAGATGTGCAAGCGAGAGCCCACCATTGGAATGTGTGGCAGACAGTTCTTCCTCTCTTCTGGCTGTTTGCCCTATTTTGTCAGCAGGTTGATGCCACTAAACCTTAAAAGCGACGCTCTGTAGTTAGCACATGCTCAAATTGAGCTTGGCCACTCCCCCGCTCTAATAGAGGCAACTCTTTTGTTATGGGATCACCTTTCTGGCTTTAGGGATACTATCAGCATTGAGGGGAGATCTTTAAGAAATAAGGGACCTAGCTCCTCCCCTTGAGCTGCCTAGAACATAACGGACAAACCAACGTTCATGAAAAGGAGAACGTCAGGGCACTTATGACAGAGCATATGAGTCAGTGCCAAGTGCCCATAAGTGACGTGTCCTCATGCATCAGTAATTCTGTGTCCTGTTCTCCTGCCATGGAACTGAAGTACTTAAGCACATGCATTTGTGGAAATAATCCCTCAGGGACAACGGGGCGGCCAGGGCAGGGTTTTGGCCTTGCCAAGCCCTGTTCCTCCTTTAGCCTCACTCCTCCACCTGGCTTTGGCTGGCTTCAGAGGCTCAAGTCCACTGACGTCAGGGGTGGGGTGGGTGCACATATTCCACAGGGGCAGAAATCAGTCCGTTGGGAGCAGGACACATATCTTACAACTTCCTTTTATATTCATGTTAGAGGAAAAAGATTAAGCTTTTCTGCAGTTAACGTACGGATTCACTGATGTGTTCTAAAGTGCTGAACATTGTTGGTACTTGCCACCATCCCAGCCCTTCTTGGTTCCTCCCTGTCCTTAGAGGCATAAAGCCTGGACGTGACACTTGCCACACTCCTTTCCCGGTAGATGTGGATTCTTAAGATTCTGCCCCAAGAGACCCTGTGCCCTGATTTGGGGAGGAGGGAGGTGAGGAGAAACCACTTCCTTCTGGTGGCTGCACAGGACAGGCTTTCAAGCATCAACAGTAGGCAGATGTGGGGTTTGCCAGCAGCCTCTGGATATCACCTTGAGACTCACCCACTTCAGTCGTGCAGGCAGCTGAGACCACTGGGGGCCAGGGAGCTTCCCTGTGACTCTTGCACTCCTGGATTCTAGAAACTTCCTCACCTTAGCCCCTGCCTTCCAGGAGCCATATAAGCTTCTGATTCTGTATTAAACCATTTCCATTCTGAAGATTCAGAATGGCTCATATGTTTCTGACCAGACCTGGACTTGTCTACCTTCTTCGGCATATCTGTCTTGTAAAGGTGGCCCACTGTTCAGAAAGAAGAGTAAAACTTCCATAGAAAGGGCCCTTTATATTACCTAGTTTAAATAAACTAGTATATTTCATCAAATCTAAGACCTCTTTGATTGTAAGATGCACCACTGTTTAATAAACAGTAAAGGAAAATGCTACCTATTAAACTATCACCATTGATTATAAAATGCAAACTGACTTCATAGATGTTAACATGTGAAAAGATGGGTGGCTTAAGACATATAAAATGTTAGCTCTCAGAAGCTGAACAGGTGGCTTTAAAAGCTTAATGCAAAGAAACTGCACTAATTGAATTGAAGACTAATACAAATTAAAACAAAAGCAATCTAATCAGAGCTGCCCCGAATTCACAATTACCAAGGAGACTTTGAAATGTGAAATTCTATCCATTGTCGTAAGTACAAAGTCTTACCACAAGTGTGTATTTTGTCTTTAGGTATTAACTAGTACTAGGATGAAGTCATCATATTTAGCAAGGCATGTAAATGCACAGACCTCATTTAGATGCTGATTAAAAGAAAACAACAGGAAAAATGCATACATGAGACAATCCAGGGAAAGGTGAATACCCAGTGGATATTAGATGATACTGAAGAGTTGCTATTCATTTCTAACAAGGGTGCTAATTGGTATTATAATTATATTTTGAAAAGATGATGCCCCTATCTCTTGGAAATAAGTATCTTATAAAAACTTTACATATTAAATGAGATGATATCTGGGATTGCTTTGAAATAATTCAATGGGGAAGGAGATGCAGATGAAACAGGGTTGGACTTATGTTGGTATTTGTTGTGGCCAGTGATACATACATGGGAATCCATTACACAAATCTCTCTACTATCATGCATGTTTGAAATTTTCCATAATAAAAAGTTTAAGTATGCAGAATATGAAGACAAATTTCTCTATACTTTTCAGAGATGTCTGAAGTCAAGAAACATTCAATATACAGAGGATTTTAGTAAATTAATGATCAATATTTAGACTTCTTGCTTGAGGTTTCTTAATATTAGCCAAAGACAGCCAAGCCACCTACAACTGAGAAGCACCTGTTCTTCCTGTCGTGGTTGAAAAGGAAACAAGGTTGAAGTAATAGATGAAAAACAATACAGGGCAAAGGATCAACTCATTCCTTTGTCAGTAAATAATTGGGAGGCATGTAGAAAACAGGAAGACTTGAAGACACAAATCCAGATAAATGGCAGGGTGGCAGGTCTGCCATTCTGTTGAATGAAATGACAGGTGTTTCTGAAACTCATCAGTGTATGGTGGAATCTGATCTGCTTTCCTGGAGGAAGCGATGGTCAGAAAGGGAAGATGCTCATCTCTTCACCCATGATCTCCACACTCTGCCCTCTCCAAAGGGGCCTCTACCTCTAGGATATTCTGGGGAATTCCTCCAAGTACAAGGGCTGGTGGTTTCAAAGTTGTTAGCACTCTCTCAGTTGATTATTCCAGTTATTACCTCTCTAATTGTGTTTGCTTTTCAGACAAAGGGATTCAGTTCCTTTTTCATTCTTTTTCCCCATATACAGTTCTCTTCCATACACCTGAAGAAGCCCCTCATGACTCATATTTGCCAATATACACCGTTCTCCATGTTGGGAAGTCTCTCTCCCAGAAGAGTCCACCTAGGTCAACATCACCGTAAACGACGTCACTATGAAGTCACGACCAGTGGGTTTCCAAAGACCATAAAATCCCTGGTTTTGACCAGGCGTGGTGGCTCATTCCTGTAATCCCAGCACTTTGGGAGGCCAAGATGGACAGATCACTTGAGATCAGCAGTTCGAGAGCAGCCTGCCCAACATGGTGAAACCTGGTCTGTACTAAAATACAAAAATTAACCAGGCGTGGTAGTGCACACCTGTAGTCCCAGCTACTTGGGAGGCTGAGGCAGGAGAATCACTTGAATCCGGCAGGCGGAGGTTGTAGTGAGCCGAGATCGCACCATTGCACTCCAGCTTACTTGCTTACAATCCAAAGTAGATGTCCTTCTGCCGGATGGTGATTTGGGGACCCAGGCTCCTTCCGTCTGTGGCTCCACCATCCCTAGGACCTTGGGGTCCTTGGACTCCTGGTGGCAGGGCACACATCACTTCTGTTCTCACTCCATGGGCTGGACCTCAGTCACATGGCCACACCTCACTGTTAACAGTGGCCAGGAAAAGTCTGTGTACCCAGGAAGATGAGGAAATGGGTTTTTGGTAACTAGCCAGCAGTCTCCACTATACATCACGATTCTAACATCAGAACATCACCTGTTTATTCCTCCTGTAAGTTTGTCAGTTTCTCTGTGGCACCCCTCTAACCCCATGACACTCACACACCTGGTTCCCCTTAGCCTCCTTCCCTGATATATTATCTTTACGTCACTTAAACTTATGGCTGCTTAGATTATTGTTCCCAGCAATCAACTCTTCCCTGCAAAGAATATTTCTTCCCATTCATTGCAATGGGATTTGCAGTTCCTCCCTGAAGGTGAACTCTGTTGCCCAGCCCATTGTTG